TTTTGAAAGTGAAGTGATAATTGTTAACAGCTGCAGCTAGCAGGCATCTTGATTGCTGATTGGCTGAAGGTGATGTGTGAAGTCTATAAAGCATTCCCATTGAGGTTTAACCAGAAGATAAGTTGCTGATTACTCTGTGTTTTTGGGTGCCTTATTTAACAATGGATTCTGCATACTGCTTAAGGTGAGCACAAAACGGACAGACTTTTTTTCTTATCAACTGAACATGTACATTGCTTTGCTAAATGTTTGACTTGTTGCTTGCTTTCAGGATTCTTTTTGCTTTGTTTCCTGCTTATGTAATCTGTTTGGGGAATTATGAAGGTAATTCAAACACACTGATGACATTTTTCTGAAACATTGCTGTCTCATGCTGTTTATGTATTCTTTGTTTGTTTGTTTCTAACAGGGAGCATGCCAACCGCCAATTTGCAAAGAGTTTCAGCACACACTTTCCCCGTGATTGGCCCTGAGGTGAAACAAATGGGAAACTGGAATGATCCTGCTTACAGTTCTGCTGGCCTGCCCCACAGTCAAGGCACCCATGGAAGTTATGACAATGAGCATAAAGAGAGTTTGTTTGCGGGATCAAATGTAAAATCAGATTCAAAAGATTGTCAGACTTCTGCTGAAAGTGATAATCAAGACCATCATATGATTAGCTATAAGCCTTCTGCTTCTGATCCTAAATATGACTTGTCAGGTTTTGGTCAACCCTCTGTTCAATACGAGTCCCATACGGTTACGGATGCCTTCAAAAATGTGCAGCCTGGTAGCAGGCTAGCTTCTACCTCATCTCAGAGCGAGTTCGCCTTGATGAGAAGCCTAAAAGTACCTGAACCAAACCCCTTAAAGCCATCTAGAGGTGAATCTAGTTACGAGGTAACTAAAACTGCTGGATCTAATGAGATGTTTGTAGTAAAGCCTCCTAAAAACACACATGGCCTTATGGAGTTCAACTCTGAAGTTACTAGAAACCTACTTGCAAGAGGCCCAAATGCTGGGTCAAACTCCATCTCAAGTCCGGTTTCCCATCAGTATAGTTCATCTGAGGGGAGCCAGAGTACTAGCAAACTCCAGACAGCCAGTAGCAGTTATGGACCATTGCTGAAGGGGATACCTGGGTATTCAAGTATGGATCCAAGAAAAACCTCTCATGATGGGCTTCAGTACACTGAGGCCAAGCCTTCGGTTGTTAGCTCAGGGCCAATCTTTGTAGTTCAAGGTGGAGGAAATGCTCAAGATCTCGGTGGCTATAGTGGGCATCCAGATTCAGTAAAACCACTTGGAGTTCCCAGCCATGTTGACCCCTATCAGGCCAGTCAGATCTTTAGAGATACTAGATTGACTGCCAGCAGTCGGGGCAAGTCCTGGAATGAACCTCTACACTACTCCATGAGTGGAACTCAATACAATCCCAGTCGTGAGCCAAGAAAACCTTCCAAAAATGATTGTAGGGACAACGATGCTAGATCTTCAATTGACAGCTCTGGTGGGATTCTTCTCGAGGCCTCAGAAAGGGCTCAAAGAAACGCATTACCACCTCACTATGAATCTACTCGCCCCAAATTCCAGCAGACCTACAATATCCATGGTCAACCTAATCAAGTCTTTGAGCCTATGTACCCCTCTCGAAGTGGGGCTCAACATGATGTGACCAAGTCCTCAATTGCCAGTTCTCGAGCAATCCTCATGATTCAGGCTCCTGCAAATGTTCACGATGGAGCAGAAGCCAATAAACCCCAAGTTCATACTAGCTCTCCAGAGCGTAAAGTACCATTTGCCCCAGGTCAGACTGCTCATGACCGCCAACCTTTTCAAATGAACCAGAATTCCAGAAATGTCCAGCCAGCCACTAGCACTTATGCCAGCTCTTCCCAAACTGGGTATCAGCCCTTCTCTTCTCTGAAGAGAACCCCATACAAACCAAGTACAGTGCTCTCAAGGCCTTCTACAAGTAAATTAGGATTCAGTGCCACTAATGAGATCAATACAGTCCACGTAAGGCTTAATAAACCACCCACAAGCAGCTTTGGTAGTTTTCAGAACCAATGGGCTTCTGGTGGCTTTAGCAGTGGCGTTTTCCAAAGTTCCTTACCTCCAAGTTACCCGGGCCAGAGACCAGGTCAAAATGAACAAAAGCCTGTTAGTTCTTCAGCCCGTTATCCCGAAGGAGTCCAAAGCCAATTCACCGTAAATACAGATGGCACCAGGCTTATTACTGCCATTCCAAGTGAGTTTGGCCAAGGTGCCATCCGAAGGATGTCTCCTACACTTTCCAGCAGCTACAGACAAGGTTTGCACCAAAGCGCACCACCAGAATCTCACTGCGTGTTAGAAATTTGATTTTTAGTCAGAAAATAATTACATTATTGTTCCCTCTGCCATAGCGGAGCAAAACCAGCATCGAGTTAACAGTTTGGGTTCCTCTGCCTCTAAATGTGAGGTGGCCCAGGATAGCCCTGCAGGTTTTGGTCAACAGGAACCAGTCCGATTCCAGGAAGTGAACCAATCCATCTAGAAGCAGATCTCAACGCGTGCTATAAAGTGAGTACAATTACTTCATTTACGGTCTACACAGAGAACGCCTATATTTGGCTTTTAGCAGGAAATGATCTGCCCTCTGCAAGCTATACTGTAAAGTCCAAAAGTGGGATGGTTATTTCAGCGTTTACAGCATCCCAGCAATCTGTCTTTGCTTCAAGTAGTGGGCTGCCTCGAGTGTAATTCAGTATGTTTGGTTGTGCTCAGAATGGGATTCCGGTTTACTTCATAGTGTGCAGTATGCAATGTATGCTAACCACCATTTAAAAAAGAAAAATGTATAATGCAATGAACATTTCAAACTGTTGTATGCTGCACTGTCACGTGACTTCATGTAGGAGCTGTCACAATTCTCAACTTCACAATTCTCAATACCAATTTCAGTACCACATAAATATTGATACCAGTATTAAATGACTATTACATAATTGACAGCAGCAGTTTCTTGTGTGTGTGTGTGAATGTAAAGTGCAAGTTTATTTCTTCCCTTAAACGTTTACATTCGGACAGATGCAAACCAACTGTGTTTACACTGATGCTTCACCAAGAATGGGATTTTGATCAAGAAATATGTGATTGTCCACATGCTCGGCCATATTAACAGCACGTTTAAAAGCAGCTGCCGGTCGGTCAGACAGACCTTGGGTACCAAACTGACCTAGCTGCATGTTTAGCTCCACAAAAGTGTTATTTTGCCTCTTTAAATCAGCATTGTGGGATACAGTGTACCGCATGGCATACTAAAATATACTGCACTTTTTGGTATTGAATGTGTACAGAAAACATACATACTGCAGAAATATAAATTTGTTCATGGCCTACAGCTTAGAAGCCTGTGAAAATAAATAAGGCTGTTTTTAATGATTGCATACTTGCATGATTCCAGCATTTCACCATTAATAGTTTCTTTTCAAATTCTTGCAGCCTTGATTAGGTGTGTGTTTGGGAGGCTGTCAGTCATCAGGCTCTGGTCTCTGCAAGGACTAAAGGATGCGCTGACTGATCCATTGCGCTGATGTTCAGTCCTGGCAATTTATAAATGCACCACCCTTTCAAAGGCTGTACATTTAATGTTAATAAAAATGTTAAACCCACAAAAAGTTTACTTTCCAAATAGTTTACTTTTTTTTAATTTTTTTTTTATACTATGTAAATGAATAAAGCTGAATTTTCTCAGACCAACATGCCACTTGAATGGAAGAAATATGTCTTTATGACAGTTCTTGTCATTTGATGATCGTGCTGTTCCAATCTCCTAATACTGTAGAAATGGATGTAAAGTAGTTGGTGTCGTGACTTTCTGTAGAAATAGTAGGAGTAATATGCAGTTTCAGACATGGTTCTACTTAAGGCAGAGTTTCTCAACCCTGGTCCTGGGCGCCCCCCAGCACTGCACATTTTGGGTCTCCCTAATCAAACACACCTGATTAAACTCATTAGCTCAAAAGAAACTCCAGGACCTGAAATAGGTGTCGGATAAGGGAGACATACAAAATGTGCGGTGTTGGGGGGCGCCCAGGACCAGGGTAGAGAAACACTGACTTGGGTGGGGGGGGGGCGGAAATAAAAAAATAATCCACTATTCTGAAGCTGCCATGGACTACGTTGACGAGTGATGTAGAAGTATTCAAAGTGAAGCTTACACTGGCGAAGCACCTGAGAGAAAACTGATTTCACAGTAAATTATCTCATTTTCAGCAGTAAGTTAAAAAAAAAAGTGTTTTAAAGCTTTTGTAGAACATCAGTTATGTATGATACAAGAATAGTAAGGCTTGTAGATGGGGAGTATGTGTTATTTAAGAAAAATATAATGGTATTTTCATGACAAATTTGTTTTTCTTCAAACCCAGGGGGCGTGGCTTCATTCCTCTAGTTCCTCTGATCTGAACATCAAATCCTTTGTGTTTCCATCAAATGTATTCTAACTAGTTGGTTGAATAAAAATATTTGGACTTTATATTTAAAAACGACCAAGTTAGCATCAGCTAACAATAGCTATTTTTCAAATAGGCTATTATAATTTTGTAATTCATGATTATATTCTTTTAATTTTAAGCTAAATCTGCCTGTACTCTGATTTTGCTGTAAATGTATAAAGCAGATTGCTTTGTCAGACTTGGTAGTACAAATGTAATTTTTGTTAAAAATCTAACATGAAAACTTTGGACATTTTCATACTTGATTTATAATTTGTCACTAAAACTATGATAACTATTCTGGACACATCTAACTTTTATTTCACAGAAAGAAATGACACGGTCCTTAAGGGGGGCGTTTCCCCCACTCTGCCCTATCTGAGGAACAATGACTCCATCTGTTGGTTAAAGATCTCGCCGCTGCGTTCACTGTGCATGAATCATATTAAAACGTAGATCAACTATCCGTCAAAAAAAAAAAAAAGTTAATTTAAAAATTTTTTTAAATTGTTTTTTTACGTGTAGCCTCGGTTGCAAACGGCTGCTGATCTGATTGACAGTCAATGAAAATTGGTCAGCCTTGCATGTTGCGGATTACGTCACCGGTGTCCATGTCCCGATGCACCTGTTGAATCAGGTAGGTGTAACGTTACCTGTACGTGTGTTCACACAAGCGGGAGCGACGAGCGTGCAGGTCGCACCATTCCCCCTCACTTTCTGCTCTTTGTGAGACAGCTTGAGGGCAGCTGACTGAGCACCGGCGGGATATTTGTGGACTAACAGTGACCAGGTCGAACGAGCTTGTTGTGCTCTCCGGACTTCCGGAAGAAACCCGTCAGACTGCGACATTTCCCCCATACGGTGTGAGTAAAGTCCAACAATAACACAGTTTATTAATGTTACTCCTTAAGATCGCCTAGTTTAAGTATTTCCCGCAGTGGTAAACTAGTGCGCTAGTTAGTCTGCTTCCTAAAGCCGCATTTCTGTGATTTGACCGGCTGTTTTGCGGCAGAACTGCGCTATGTTTGTTTGGGGACTGTGTGAACTTTGTAGCTTTTCCGAATTTGTAAATAATCAGCTGCTGCCTTAAAATAGAAATTAAAATAAGTATATGTAGATTACTCTGCATCATATAGTTTCTATCGTGTAATCTAAAACTATTTAAATTGAAAGTGATTATTTATTTAATTACTTATCCAAGTCTGCTTTTTAAAGTTGATTTGTTTGAGTAGTGAAGATGTTACAAGTGTTACAGGATGGCATTTCGACTGACTGTGTTATGTAGGGGTGAATTCAGGTAAATTTGGACAGTTTTTGCATTGATATGATTGGGAAAAATGTCCCCAATTAACCTGAATCAACCCTGATTCACATGTAGAACAATTTCACTTTCTTTTCCTCGCTGTATTATACATTTCACTTGTATATATCGCAGTGGTAAATATACAAGTATATCTGAGCGACTAAAATGTATTTATTACTGTACATAAGATGGCATGATGGAAGACCACATAATGTTGAAAAAAAAATCTGCAGTAAAATTACGTGTTGTCTTTTAAAATGTCAAATTTTTACTATTTATGATACGTTTTTTTCACTTTAAGGCTTTAGTTGACACAATGAAACTTTATACGTGTTTCTAAGCCTGGCTTTCTAAGTGTTGAGGTGAAAGTTTTACTTTCACTATCTTATTAACAACGACAACAGCCAAGAAAGCGAACACAAAACAGCTCTTAAACTGGTTGGTTTGCATCTCTTGGGGAAATTCGGGACAACTCGCTGCAGTTTTGTTACTAAGACTGCTTGAAAGTGTAAGATAAAACCTTCATCTCGTTCCAGTTTCTCCTATTGTGTCTCTTTAACAGACCCTGAGGCCTCAGTCCAGCGTCGGGTAACAGTAGAAAGAGCCACCAGAGGACGGTCTGGGCCGAGTGTTGTCCCTATGGAGAGCGCCCCGTCCTGGACCAGTGGTCCCATTGATGAAGGGCCATACCGAGAGCGCTCCGTCGACCCCGTGGAGATTGAGATCCAGCACTTCAGAGTGAGGCACAAAGTCAACAAGGATGCCAACGGCAATACGACTGGGCCGGAGACCGTAAGCTTTCTCCCCTCCAAAGAGGAGCCCGTCTCGGGGACGTATATGTGCGGGCCTTGTGCTTCTGTGAGAAGCTGCAGGAAGCTCTTTTGTAGCGTTTTGACTTGTGGACTGTACCGCGTGTGCCGGCGCTTGCCTTGTCTCCTTTCGAGCGAAAGCTCAGCTCCCAAAGCGCCGGTGGAGAACCCATCAAGTCCTCCACAGGCGGAGAACGGCTTCTATCCTGACGTCTGCATTGGGGGCGTCAAGGTGGACACATCCGTCATTGAAGATAATGAGGAGCATGCATCGTTTTCCACTTCCAAAGTCGAGATGGACAGTCCGATTTACTTCAGTAGCTTACCGGAGGATGACTTAATGTGCGGCAGCGGGATGGAAGACGTGGACAAACTCATCACCCGGAAGCTCATGGAGGTCTTCTCTGAGTTTGAGATCAACGAGCTGGCCAAGTGCACCACGGACTCCATGTTCCTGCGGCGCTCCCGGGAGATCAGTCAGCTGATCTCGGATATCGTGGAGGAGCACAACATGGAGGAGCAGGAGGCCGAGTGCCGGCTGGTGCGAGAGATCATTCGCATCAGCACACGCAAGAGTAAGAAGAAGCCGCAGGTCAGGCCGCAGGAGCTGCAGCGGGACAGCGGCAATGACACCTGGAACAGCAAGAGGAACAGCCAGAAGAGCAGCTTCAGTTCCATGAGCGATGGAAGTGAGTGGCAACAACAGTTTTCTTTCTTTTCCTCGCCGTCTAGTCCTGAAGTTCCTCAAATTTTGTTTTCAGTGGCGTCTTGCAAACCTTGAACTTTCATCATCATTTACAAAGCTTGATGATGTTCTTTCTATGCACTTTTAAAGTGAATGGTTACAGATGCTGCCAAGCCCTAAACTTTCGGTGTGTCTCATTAGTTCTTGTTGAGAGATATATATTTAGAAAGCAAGATTTAGTCACTAATGCTGTTTGTCTATATTAGTATCTGGAAATCACTGCATGCCATATGTTGCGCATAATGACATAATGTATAAATAAACTATTTTATTCTGTCTTTAGAGTTGCAGATTTCAATGGAGAGGTCAGATGACATTGAAGCCAGGAAGTTACGCAACAACAGTAGCCAGTGTAAGTAATGCATTAGATTGTATGAGCTATTTACATAGATTTTTCTTAAAACACAAAACTTTGAATAATTATGGCAATATGAAAACACGTCTAGGATGCATTTCACCCCCAAAACTATTTTCATGACAGTTTAAATTCCCATGATGTATAAATGCAATTTAAATATTTGTATTTCAAAAGTTTAAATGTTCAAAAGTTGTTGTTGTTTTGAAAGAAACAATGTTGCACATTTACAATGTTACCAAAGGTTTATATTAAAAAAAAATGCTGTTCTTTTTTAACTTTCTTTTCATCAAAGAATCTTGAAAAAATCGGGCAAATCAGCATATTATGACACTGAAGACTGGAGTAATGATGCTGAAAATTCAGCTTTATATCACTGCAATAAATAACTTTTTAACATATATTCACATAGAAAACAGTTATTTTAAATGTTAATAACATTTTGCAGTATTACTGCTTACTGTGTTTTTGATCAGATAAATGCATGAGGGTCTTTTAAAAAAAAAAAACATGAATAAATCTTACAGAGCCCAAACTTTTAAACGGTAGTGTACATTACAATATATTTTTTTCAAATTACAATAATGTGAATGAGAATTTATGGTAGTGAGAATTCTTATAAAATATCACACAAGTAATATTGCAATGCAAAAAAATTACAGTGGTTCTAAACCTCTTTTTTTTATACATGCAAAATATAATTTCTTATTTCGGGGTGAAATATGACCTGGACTTTCGTGAGATTCACCCATAGTTTGTTTTGCATAAAACTAAGTCATGCACAAAAAGTCCCCATGCTAATGTAGTTAGCTCTCAGCTGAGCGCGGTTCTGTGCATTAGTGTAGCAGTGCTGTGCGCCGCTCCCTGCCTGTATTAAAGGCTGTTGAGTGGCTGCATCAGCTCTGGAAGAATGAGAGGGGTGTGTGGCCGCTTTCTCTCGTGAGTTTGAGGGGTTTGTGATGTAACCAACCACATTGTCACAAACAATGCTCTCTTGTCTGGCAGCCATCTGATCGCTTACACTCCTCTGAATTTGAATGTCTCTCTTTTCCTCATCAGCGGTGGTTTACCCCTCCCCTTCTGTTTGCTTGATGTTGTTTTCATGCTCTACAATGTTGGCAAGCAACAGCTGGATTTTTTTTTTCCATAAACGTTTGTGGGAACATGAAGTTGAGAATATACTAACTTTCAGCATGCTGTTCCGAGAGCACAGATTGTTACTTGCTCTCTTTAGGATCATATCCTACTTTATCATTTTAAAATATTAAAGTGTTTCTCAACATGTTTGTTTCACTTATGCTGCGTTCAAGTCCTCCTGGGACGTTCGTACTTACGAGTTGACAAGTCGTAATTACGACGTCAGGTGCTTTCTTCTCTCTCTTTTTTTTTTATTATTATTTTTTTTTTTGTCAGACACAGTCATAATCACATAACCATAGTCACCTCCAAAAACAAGCTGGCTGGTTTTTTTTTGCTGCTGTGTTTTTAAGACTATGTAAATATCCTCTTCACATGTGAAATGAGATTTGAATGCACTGAGATGAAAGCTTATACACGGGCTGTGGGTTTTCTGTTGGGTCAAAAAGAAATACACTTTAGTTTAGCATACTTTTCGAAACAGAAATAATGTAGGTTACTTTACAAGAATAAACTTGAGTGAACCAATGTAATGTTTTCTGACACTTAATTGCATGTTACTTACAAATTAATTAAAATGTATTATAGTATAATAAGTGCAATTAGTTGAACTTAGAGTGACCATTTGACCTTTGACCTATCTTCATATGTAATTTCATAATTCTATTGTTTTTGAAATATGGTTTAAGTGTACTGCTGAATGTACCGACAAGCCTTTATGGTAAACTAAAACATACTATAATGTCGTTTCTATTTAAATAGATTTGTAATTACACATTGTAATGATGAAGTTGCACTTAAATTATATTAACTCTAAATTATATTAAGTTTTGACATTATTACAAAGTGCTCATTTTAAAAGTCTACTTAGGTGTAATAAGAAACATAGTCAAAACATAGTTTTGAAAACATACTTTTAAGTACACTACAAGTGCACATTACGTACAATTAAGTGCACATCTTTTTATCTAAAAGGAAGAGTAGTTCATAGTCTCAGCCTCAAGCCTCGTACACACCGGGACGATTATCGCGCGCGCTTATCGCCGACGTTTTTCGATGCGTCTTTTGTGTTCATACCCAAGCAATTTTCGCAGGCGACGAGCCGAGTGAACGTGCAGATTCACTCCCTGACATTAGATGGTGCTTAATGAAAATCAGAAATACCCCGGTACACATCGAATCCTATTTCATCTGCAATTCCTCTCCATATCAACTCCCTCTTATCGAGATTTTTGTAGTCGCTGTCGCGTTTGTCATAAAGTCCTTTGTGTTCAGACACCACTCTTGCCTCGATGCATCTTCTTGGTCTACTTACTTCCTCTTTGTCGTTAGGTATCAATGTGTGCTCGGCAAGACCGTTTTGTGCTTGAGCGCCACCAAGTCGTGTTTTACTGTAACTTCAGCAGCTCCAGGCACGTGAACAAAAGCGCCAATCTCATTGGTCGGCCAGTTTTTAACGCGGCGCGTCAAACCAAAAAAACGAGCCCGAGGCATTTTTTAAAAAATGACGCTTTTACGCCTCACGTTTTGCGCGTCGTTGTGCACACTCACATTGGCGCCCTTTGTTTAGTCACGTGGCGTTAAACGTCGGCGATAATCGCGAGCGATATTCGTCCCGGTGTGAACAAGCCTTCAGACGTCACGTCCATGGACTGTTGGCTGTACGTCTGATGCATACGGCACACTAAATTGGAAACACTTCAGGAGTTTCGAAGTCGTCATCTGATTGGTTGAATTATACAGGATTTCCGGGAGACGTGTCGCGTTCTTTAACGTTCCACCTGGAAACAAAGATGCTGTGTCACCAAACCCCCTCATGTTAGAAGCCTTCATGTTTACAACTGTGATAATGAGCGCTTATCAGGATCAGCTAAGCGCTGGATTTTAAAATGTATGTGAAATATGTAAAGTTCACAGCATAGACTCGTTAAAATATGTCCAAGAGTTTGACACACCGGTTATTGTGGGACATTTCCATGCCCCTAAACATGGCGCGGCACAAAACGAAACGTGATTGGTTGCTTTACCTGTCAGTCATATGACTCCATTCAAAGCGGCCAAGGTTCCCAAACCTTCTGCCGTCAGTCTGAAGGTCTGGCTACATGAGACTATGTAGTTCATAACTACAGCACAGATTTAAGCAGCAGGAAATAACGACCATGGTGCAAACGGAATCATTTCTGCTCACATGCTCTGGTCACTATGCTTTTGTAGGTAACTAACTCACTGGGGAAGACCATCTTCTGGCAACAAAGAGATGTCCATATAACAGTAGCTCAAAGAGAATACAAGTTCTAGTAATTATGTATTTTTATTGCCATGTCAGCATCTAAGGCTATCTTCATGGCAAAAAATGAGTTACAATAATACAAGAGTTACATAAACACAATAATTACAGCAGCTGTTAAAGTGTTTTAAATTATATGATAAAAATGCAAAAATATTTTCTGATAAAATCTTACTAAAGTCTCTAGTCATGTGTTCAGTTAAACACTATCCTTCAACATTATTAAAGGCTCAGTTCATCAATTTTCAATTCACTTTATATTGTTACAATGTTAGTAATATATGAAAAGCACAACGTTTATTCTTTCCCTGAGATACTCAGTTTATTTGTCAGCAAAACACAGCATTTTGTCCTTTTGATGAAGCAAAAGTGTCTTTTTGTCAAAACTTGTCATTTCATTTTGCGTCATCCTGCAGAGTGTTGCTTACAAACAAAAGGGGATATAGATACACATAACTCAGAGAAAAAGTAAATATTGTTCATTTACAGATATTACAGACATTGCAATAATACAAAGCGGGTTGGAAATCCTCAAACTTACCCTTATAGGCAAAATTAAGCTTTGTACACACCGGGATGATTATCGCGCGCGCTTATCGCTGATGTTTTCGACGTGTCTTTTGTGTTCATACTCAAGCAATTTTCGCAGGCGTTGAGCCGAGTGAACGTGCAAATTCACTCCTGACATTAGATGGCGCTTAATGAAAAACAGAAATACCCATCGAATCCTATTTGATCTGCAATTCCTCTCCATAACAACTCCCTCTTATCGAGATTTTTGTAGTCGCTGTCGCGTTTGTCATAAAGTCCTTTGTGTTCAGACACCACTCTTGCCTCGATGCATCTTCTTGGTCTACTTACTTCCTCTTCGTCGTTAGGTATCAAATGTGCTCGGCAAGACCGTTTTGTGCTTGAGCGCCACCAAGTCGTGTTTTACTGTAACTTCAGCAGCTCCAGGCACGTGATCAAAAGCGCCAATCTCATTGGTCGGCCAGTTTTTAACGCGGCGCGTCAAACCAAAAAAACGAGCCCGAGGCATTTTTTAAAAAATGACGCTTTTACGCCTCACGTTTTGCGCGTCGTTGTGCACACTCACATTGGCGCCCTTTGTTTAGTCACGAGGCGTTAAACGTCGGCGATAATCGCGAGCGATATTCGTCCCGGTGTGAACAAGCCTTCAGACGTCACGTCCATGGACTGTTGGCTGTACGTCTGATGCATACGGCACACTAAATTGGAAACACTTCAGGAGTTTCGAAGTCGTCATCTGATTGGTTGAATTATACAGGATTTCCGGGAGACGTGTCGCGTTCTTTAACGTTCCACCTGGAAACAAAGATGCTGTGTCACCAAACCCCCTCATGTTAGAAGCCTTCATGTTTACAACTGTGATAATGAGCGCTTATCAGGATCAAACGTGATTGGTTGCTTTACCTGTCAGTCATATGACTCCATTCAAAGCGGCCAAGGTTCCCAAACCTTCTGCCGTCAGTCTGAAGGTCTGGCTACATGAGACTATGTAGTTCATAACTGCTTCATCCTCCAACAGCCTCTTTGTAGAGCCGCATTACATTGCGAAAGATTAATGATTCATAAAATAAACAGACAAATAAAACAAAATGCAGAGCAGCAGTTTCGGACACACTGCCAGGAACAGCACATGGTTCAGTGAACTTAATCTATCCTGTTTTCTCTACAACTGGACAGTCTTTGGAAGAGATCATTGTGTTCAGGAATCTAGAATTGAGTCGTATTCTATTTCTCATGATTTAACTCCTATGTGATGAAATTGCATGTTAATTTGAATCTTTTTTTCTCACTTTCCCTGCAGCATTCTCTCCGAGTTTGCAGGAAACTGGTGTGCCGATCACGTCGGACACTCCTTTACTCCCCAGCAGCATACGAGCATGAGAGTGTCCCATCAGACATGCATAATTTTCATTCCCACACCTCCATAAATAATGAAGAACATGTTCTCTGGCTTTTTTTGAGCAAGAGTGGCTGATTTTGAAGTGTACCCCTAAAAATTGTGATTTCATGGCTAGTTTTTTAAAGGGGTCATATGATGCTGCTAAAAAGAACATTATTTTGTGTATTTGGTGTAATGAAATGTTTATGCGGTTTAAGGTTCAAAAAACACATTATTTTCCACATACTGTACATTAATGTTTCTCCTCTATGCCCCGCCTTTCTGAAACGCGTCGATTTTTACAAAGCTCATCGGTCTAAAAAAGCGAGTATGCTCTGATTGGCCAGCTATGAACGAGCCGTTTTAGGTAGGCGTGGCTGACTCTTAACTTTTATAAAGAATATCTCTTTGGATTTGAGACTTTAGTCTTTGCAACTTTACAGATCTTCTTTATGCACCAAGAGCTTGTAACACTCCAAAGAGAAAGGAAAAATTTAAATCACATCATATGACCCCTTTAACATATCTGAAATGGTAGGTGTATTTATGCTTCTATTTCATATTTTCTTGTGATGGATGTGTGAAGTATCTCAACGCTGCGCTGTCTAGAAGACATAAGCCAACAAATGACTCGCTGAGAATGAAGAATAAGAAACAGTCTGACCTCTTTAATGCCAACAGATGCACATATACTGTTGGAGCAATATGGCCTGATTCTTTCATAATGATTTAACTTTCCATTCATTTCTGCCTCTTCAAGAGTTATTTCATCCGAAAATGAAAATTCTGTCATTTATTAACCCTCATGCCATTCCAAAATCGTATAGTTTTCCTTCTTTCATAAAACACAAGTGGTGAATTTCAGTATATTGAAAGTGAATGGAAACTTTCACAAAAAAGCAGTTGTGTTGATGATGTTTGGTCACAACACCTACAAAACACTATGGTTTTTGAAGACTTGTAATATAGCGAATAAGTCATATAGACTACCTTTATGATAATTCAGTGGCATCCCCAAAGATTGGCCAGAAAATTCAGCCCTTGTGTTGCACTGAAGAAACTAAGGGTGTGCAAAGTGAGGGTTAATAATGAGTTTTTGACATTTGAATAGCGAAATATTCCTTTACTGCTAAGATGATTAATGTATTGGTCAAATGTTGGCGCTTCAGTGAAAGTTTGGCTGTGTGAAGTTTGTTGGACCAAATGAAAAGCTTTGAGCCGGAATGAATGTGGAAGAGTTTTAAACGGGCCTGCCTCTGTGCTTATTTAAACGTCCATAGAAACAACATATGCACTTGCCATATGCAAAATCTAGGATAGCATCTGATTAATGCTTGATTTTCAATGTATATTTTAATGTAAATTTCACTGTTGCAAGAGTAATATGTTAGGAAAATGTGTTCTCTTATGTAAGGGAACACATTTTAGGTTTGCTTTAATAATATTAATAATAAAATCTCTGTTGCTTGGTAAACATGGACACAATGCAACATTCTGTTTGTAAACGCTTGAGTTAAGCTGCTATACAGCATGCTTTCTTATATTGTATTGTATTATATTGCTTATATCGAAACCATAAAACCTCCAGAGAATTCCAGGAAATCGTGCAGAAAGTGATATTTGCTTAAGGAGAAATTTTGACATTTGACACTTTTTGATTCGTTAGACTTTCAGTTTCTGCCTTAAGGTTACATGCAGTGAAAGTGTCATGTTTGCTGCCTGTGATCAAATGGATTAGTATTCCTGCAGGCATTTAGTGATGTATGGGGGGAAAAAAATAGTTTTGGAGGGGTTATTTGCACTATTTGCAATAATGGTTTACTGTAAGAAGCCTATTCATATTTAAACTATCAGTCAGGGTGTCAGAAGAGATGTTTTAATACGTACGATTTACGAAGTGTTAATGAATTTATCATAAGACACACAGACAGCTGTTGTATTATTTGCAAAGGCATTATGATATATGCAACATCTTGAGTTGATTATTTTTTCCATTATGACTGGTTTCTTATTAAACTTAAAAATAAAGCTTCTTTATTGCCATTGATGGTTCCATGAAGAACTTTTAAAACCCATGGAACATTTCCATTGCATTTAGAGTTTAAAAAGGTTCTTTGGATTATAAAAATGTTATAACAATAATGGTTCTTTTTAGAACTGTTTACTGAAAGGTTCTTTTGGGAACCAAAAAGATGGCATGGCTGCGAAAAGCCCCTTTGGAACCTTTATTTTTAATAGTGTAACTCATGTGTTTTTGACATTTATAGTCACAACTGTCCCGTGATATGTGCACTAATCATAGGTAGCCTATAAATCTAACCTGTACTACAGACCATAGCTGTGTTTATAGCGCTTTCACCACAACCCATTCGCTTCTTGACTCACCGGCTATAAACCACAGCAACATGACCTTATACGCAACCCTGCAGGCAGTAGGTTATGGATCTGTGTGTTTAGACCACAGTGATGGTTATGTGGTTGTAATTTAGTCTGTGTGAAAGTCAATCATTTATAAATCCGTCTGATTCCGTTTATTTGTTCAGTATCAAATAAGTCTGTGATTAAGCATAATACTCTCATTGGCTTGGATTTATTTCCTTACTGTCGCTGCTGTATCAGTTTAACAACCATCCACCCTTGTTTAATGAAGCCTCCTCAGGGGGTTTTGCCGGGGAATACAGGGTAATTTGTTTCTACATCCAGGATGTCTCTATGAATCATCAGGTATATGATTCATCTACTCCACATGGTTCAGGTAGCACCGAAACTCAAGCTTGTCATACCTGATAGCTTGTCAAATACTGAGACATTTGATGCTTTCTGTGTGTATTTGTACACATAGCTGAGGAAAATTGTGTACATGAATGATATAAGAAGCATAGGAAACATTTTATTAGTTGAATTAAGATGTTTGTGCAGTACTATAAGCCTGAAGTCATGATTTTATATGTCTGCTTATACAAAACAGAGCTCTGACAATAGCAAACAAACTCAACAGGTTTGACAAGCTCTTGTCACAGAAGGGGAATAACAGCACTGCCTTCATATCGGTGCTCAACGGAGAGGAGCTGCTGCACTGAGTCATGATACAACTTTTTGTGAGGGGGAAAGAAAAATGCTGAAAATGTGCTCACACTCAGGCCATTCAAGATACAGATGAGTTTGTTTCTTCATCAGATTTGGAGAAATGTAGCATTGCATCAGTGTCTCAGCAATGGATGCTCTGCAGTGAATGGGTGCCGTCAGAATGAGAGTCCAAACAGCTGATAAAAACATCACAATAATCCACAAGTAATCCACACCACTCCAGTCCATCAGTTAACATCTTGTGAAGCCAAAAGCTGCGTGTTTGTAAGAAACTAATCCATCATTAAGACTTCTTAACTTTAAACCATTGATGGCAATTGGAACGACCAATAGGTGGAGACAAATAGTTATGAGAAAATTATAATGGATTGATGACAAAATGCAAAATATACAATGTATTTTATGATTTTTTTTTAAAACAAAAACAACTATTTTACAACAAAAAGCAACAAGTATTATTATTGTATTATAAAAATATAATAGGTGAATGAAACACCTTTGCAAAAAAGACTCAAACTCAAGAACATTCTCTGGTCTTTGTACTCTCCCGTGTGTTTAAGTACTTTGTCGTATTTATTTGATAGACTGCTTCAGGGATGATGTGCTTTTGTAGGCCAACCCATAAATTCACATCACCATGGTTCCCTCAGCAAAACGCCAATAGGATTATTGCAGAAAAGAACCAACAAATGTTTAGGATTTAGTTCACCAAGATAATATTCACAAAATAACACAGCTTTCATAAAATTTGAAGCCTACATACAAATGCCGTAAGTCCGCATGAAATCAAAATTGACTTTATTTACTTTACTTGCGCACATTGCTAGTCTTGATGTGAACAATTAATCTGTCACGAATCCTGCCCATGCACTTCCGTTTGCTCACCACCAGAGATCACCCGCTCACTACTATGGACTCTTGCACCACACTAACTGTTGCACTTCACCCCGGACTACAGTTCCCATCATCCTTTGCACTGATTACACACACACAGCTGAAGGCACTGATTACACACAGCTAAATCCAATCAGACATGCTACATGAGCCATGGACTTCCTCTTTCTCACTGCCGAGTATTGTAAGCGCATATCGCTACCCTAGTCGATAGCTACTTTACAGAGCCAGTTCCCGTTCCTAGTTTGAGTTCTAGTTGTCTCGTCTCGTCTAGTTTCCCGTTTCCTGATTCTCGCTTGTCCTGCTTGTCGCTTGTCTCGTCTCGCCCTGTTCGAATACTGTTTGCCCCTCGCCTGGACCATAGCCTGTGTTTCGTATTAACCCTTTGGAATACCCTGTTGGGACATTGTTCGCCGGAGATCGACCACGCCCGCTCACTGGACTACTCTTTTGTCTTGCCCTCAATATACCTGTTTGCCATTATCTGACCCTTGCTTGTTTTGACTTTGTTCTAGAATAAAAGCTTTGCATATGGATCCGCACGCCTCTCCCCGTAACATAATCCGTGCAAGTTAATCCGCTGAAAAAAAATGGTTTGTTTTGGTAATCTTTAATCAAAATCTGAATATTTGCTTCCGCTCTGGAATGGCATTCCTTCTCTGATGATGTCAGTTTGACGGCTTGGGCAGAACATCCTTAAAACACACCCCTCCAACTGTTAGTTTGCTATGAGTGAGAGACAGAGAGGAGGAGCGCAAACATAAAACCATGCCCTCTGCTCAATGTTCTGTTTCAGCTGGAAATACGTCACTGAAATAAAGTCGACAGCGGCTTCCGGTTCACGCGGACTTTAAAGGGTTAATGTGAAGAAAACCAGAAACAATACAGAATCCACACTGCACATGACATGTGTGTAATATGTATTACAGATTACATACAGCGGAGTAACCAACGGTGTAGTTCATCACACTATAAACAGTGTTGCTGCTTTTTATCTTCATTTTGAATCTATTTTTGTATCATTTCATTCTTGAAAGGTGTGCTAACTTCTGTTAAAATCAATGCCACTTGATGTTTTGTTTCTAATGCAAAGACCTTGATATATTTTTGTGTGCCACACATACACAGTGACATATTTAATACA